AAAATCCACAAGAAATCTTTTTTATATTTCTGCAACATTCACTCTTGTCCACCCCGCCCCGCCCTGCCCACACCCACTTTCTAATTTATGAAGGATATCTTTTACTTTCTTCACTTGAAGAGGAAGATAATGATGAAGTTGAAGCAGACGATTTGCTTACGGCCTTCACATCTTCTGAAGAAGCAGCAGCAGAAGCAGAAGAAACAGAGGAAATTAAAACAAGTCAAAGGAGCTTCTTACCTGAGACGTGGAAGTGGCAGATCGTAACTCTGAGGCAAGTGATCGGTTCTAGGCCTGAAAGGGGCATAGAACTCCCTTACTAAAATCTTCTGTGCGGACCCCGAGAACCTTAACACAGCCACTGTTGGCAACTCATTAAAGCAGCCACATCGTCTGGTGAAAAGCACTGCACAGCCTTAATACGAGGCCTGTCTGCTACCAGTCAGGAAATTTGCTTCAGTATATCTGTTTGTTGATTTTTTTTGCTTGCTTTCCTGTTTTTTCTTTCCCAATACTTTTTTTCAGGCCATGTGGTTTCTTAGACCCCTCAAGGCAGCTCATGGTGGGGTATAAAACCAAATAATCACAGTGTGTGTCTCTATGTGTCTGTGTATGTCTGCGTGTCTGTGTGTACACACACACAAACAGTATATATACTCAGTATGAGGGAGGATTCCTATGTACTCTGAGTCCAATCATACAAATACAGTATATATGTATATGTATATACTGTATATATGTATGGTTGGACTCAGTATACATAGAAATCCTCCCTCATACTGAGTTCAACCAACTAGCTCCAGGCTGGCAGATGGGTAGGACTGGGGAAAGTCGTGGAAGTGGTTGCAATCTCATTTGGAGAGCAGGCTGGGGTCAGCCCTTTGGCCCAGATGTTCACTTCCTGGACTCTACCCACAGGTCCGCCGAGAATCCTGAGGTCTCAGCCTCCCCAGATGGTCTTCAGAGCAAGCTTGCTATGGCAGTGACCATTCCAGACACCATCACCGAGTGGCAAGCCGGGGCCTTCTGCACATCAGTGGAAGCTGGTTTCGGCATGGCCCAGACCACTTACCTCAAGGCCTTCCAGCCCTTCTTCCTCGAACTCACCTTGCCTTACTCTGTGGTGCGAGGAGAAGACTTCACACTGAAGGCCACCGTCTTCAACTACCTCCAACACTGCATCCGGGTGAGAAGACTCAGGGGCCTCCTGGTTGAGGCAGCATTCAAGCAGATGGATGGATAGATGGATGGATAGACGGATGATAGATAGATAGATAGATAGATAGATAGATAGATAGATAGATAGATAGATAGA